TCATCAGCGATAATAAAATTAATATAGCAAGGCTGTACATTAATTGATATCGGCAGATACATTTAACATTTTATATTCAAGGACCATCACGTTATGCGTGATACAGAAATTTAGTAATTGCTTCATGGTTACTAATAACTTCATTTATATGCCTATTGCCTACTTATTTATTTAACTTAACAAGTTATGAGAGACATCCTAATATGTTACTGAGAAGAACAATAATTAGATACGAGCACAGATCACATAATAATATACTATACGAGTGAACGCCTGAAAAACTTGAATAAATAGCATCACTAAATGAAAATTATTTATATAGGAAAACGATTAACAGGTTCAAGATTTTTTTTTACAAAATGTACCAAACGTTAGCAGTATTAAAGGAAAAGAAAGTGTGATGCAATAGTTTAACACATCTCTATCTATCTATTGTTTGTGTATTTAATATTTATTTTCTTTGATGTGTTACTGTTATTGTGCGAAAATAAGTTAGATTGCAGATTGACTGATTATTTTGCATGAGGCTTAGCTACTATGTAGCTATCTGTATTATTCAACAATGATCTGTATCCAGCTATTGATATCGACAGTATAACAGCGATTTTGAAAAGCGCCAGAAAGACTGCAGATATGACTAAATGTTAATAAAAAAAAATCAATGGTCCCGTGCTCTTTCTTCTTTGATTTAATGTTGTATATGTTAATGATTGGAATATATAGATAATATATACCAGATACTTTAAGTAATATATGCTCTTTAACCTACTATTGCGACTGATATCTACCTAAATATATCTAATATGCAAATTTTTTGAAATATTTTATCGTACCTGTTTTAGGGGTTGTAAGTATAAAAAAATATATACGTGTGAGTTTTGAAGTGAAAACTTCTAAAGGCAGGTTTGGATGGGGAGTAAATTCATGTAAGTCGTCATCGATATGGTCACGTGACGTGTTAACGCTACACTCACAGTACCGATAAATGTCAAAACCAGATAAATGTAAATTTTTAATTTACGAATTTTAATGTAAGATAAAACAATTTATTTTGATATCCAAAAATAAACTGTTTGTTTATAGTCTTAAGTTTTCACCACGTGACTGCTTTTTTTATTAATATTTTACCTGTGCAGGGTCAAATATATTTTTTGAGCAAATAATCAATATTTATCTCAATATAATAAGTTATTGCACAATCTAATCAATCAGCCATTGTTTATTAATGACTACCTATTTAATTATTGTTTACCAATAAATTATTTGCTAATCAAGGTTAAATTAGAGTCTTAACCCTTGTTTTATAATTAGTCAGAATTTACTTAAGAGGATGATGACCAAATATATATCATATTGCTTGAAGCTTAGGCAAATATACGCAATTGAGTAAATAACGGTAAGAGACAAAAAACATATAGGTACCAATTTGTTCGATTCTCAAATGGGACTTTAGGTGAGAAATAAACAATACAAAACTAATATTGTACAACATACCTATATTAGGTATCCCCCGATCTGTAATTAAATCTTATTGTTAGGTAAAAAACTATAAAGCAATAAATCAACATGATTATGATCCTCCTGAACAATTTCGGCGCGGCAACCAATCTCTCTGACTACTGAGACTAACCAACTGCGCAAGAAATATTACCTATAGTGCACTCTCAAAGTTCGATTAGCTGATACTTTGGCACGAAGGATGAGAGTTAACGGGACCGAATGCTTTATGTGCTCTCCGAGGCACGGGGGTGTAACGCCGCCAACTTCTTAATAGGGCTGCTATTGAGAATTTCTTAACAGAAAAACTCAATAACAAAATTTGGCGTAACTTGGAACTCGAACTCAGGACCACCGGATCTGCGGCCGTACAGGCTAGTCACTAGGCCACCGAGGCAGTTATCAACATAAATAATAGCTTATGGGATAGATATTTTATGAAATAAACAGTAATCTCTACATAATCTTATATGGTAAGTAATTTCAAGATTAAGGTATATTTTTATTACGTTAGTTAATTGTTTATTAAAATATAGTACCTTTAAGTGCAAATAAATATATAAATTTCCCACGTGACATCAGATCATTCACAAATCACAAGTTATATTGTTATGTACTACGTATTATTTGGATTGTGACGTAATGTTATTGATATATACACGTGGACACTTAGTAGAATATAATTTTAAATGTATTTAGTAGCCAAGCTTATATTAATTAGAATATAATTTTTTAAGGCACGGCGTAAGTAAGTAGAGTTTGAAGGTTCATCATCCTCATAAAATATTAATATTTTCTTATTACATATTTAAAAATAATATTTCATTTTTTTATATTCTATACGAATATCCGGTAAAGGAAAAGTAGGTTCTGGCCAAATATCAGTTAAACATTTTTATCATATATATGTACTACAATCGATTGCGAATAGAAATTTTAAAAATTGTGTTGAAATGACCAAAAGCGTTACATCAGAGAGTCATAGTTCGTCACTTCCATATTGTCATATTATAATTTTTGGATTTCTCTTCGTAAACAAATAGTTGAATGTTATGTCTAAGCCCCTAAATAATATCTAGAAGTATTTTTTTATTATTATTATTAATCAATATTATTAAAGTTAATCACAACTTCCCATATCGGCAGCAGCTGCTATTAATTTATTTATTATTTATTTTTAATTGGATTTTTTATTGCTATTTAAATTTAACATAATATGTATTATTAATTATTATTTATATGTATATCTACAAGAACTTAACTATAAAATTTGACAACTACAAAGGAAATTGTATATCTTCTCCCACAGCTACTATATGCACATATTTAGCTATTAATAGGTACCGACTATTAAATCATTATATTACTTGTACATTAATTAACTGTAATATCATCTATAATAGATATTCCTAACCACAATATGGCCTTGTGGTGGCTTATGATACAGATTTGTGGATAGAAGGTGAAGAAACCTTGGCCCAGTGCTGGGATTGCATTACCCATTTAAATAGGGTGAAACGATAAATTATTTTAATTTTACCCATATTAAAAATCTAAATAAATCCTAATTCTTTCTAAAACTTAAAATCTAATTATAATTTTTTAATTGTGTATTGATAATTTTAATTTCTACAAGTGAAGTTTTAAAGGTACGATGAAAAGGTTTATTATTGTTTTGACTAAATAACTAAGTAATTTGCGTTGGGTAAGTTCATTGCGGCGGCGCGACGAAGACTTAATTATTTAATCAAAATGATTTGTCAAATAATATTTTTGCAGTGAATATCGCTGTCAGTTAAATTTGTCATATTTATTAATTTATAAAAATAATTATTTAATTATTGTTTAGTACAAATTGAAATTTAGGCAGTGGTAGCCCAGTGATAACGCGCTCGCTTGGGAAACCGAGTGAAGCGAGTTCAAATCCCGAGTCTCGCACCTCTGATATTTTCATGTGCGAATCATTTCCAACACGATTACCACTTGTCTTAACGGTGAAGGAAAACATCGTGAGGAAACCTGCATGTCTGAGAGAACCTAGCAAGTTTTCAAAAGATATGTGAAGTCCGCCAATCCGCACTTGGCCAGCGTGTCGGACTATGGCCTGATCCCCCTCGTACGGAAGGGAGGCCCGTGCCCAGCAGTGGGACGTTAAAAAGGGCTGAATACACACACAAATTGAAAATGTATTGTGCTTATAGGTGACGATACGTTTGGCTCAGTTTGTAGTGACCCTACTCGCTGTGCCAGCGGTCGCGGGTTTGAGTCCCGCTGGGGGCATTCATTTGTGTGATGAGCACGAATGTCTGTACTCCAGTCATGGGTGTTTATATTTTTAATGTGTATGTATTTAAACTTAAACATGTGTAGTGTATCGACTATCTGGTATCCACAACATAAGCCTCGTAGCTTACCATGGAACTAGATGGTGCTGTGTGTTAATGTCCTAACATGTTTATTTATTATAGGTTCTAAGTTAGATAGATTCCAAATAGTGACCATTTTTTATTTAATTCTCTATCACATCTCTTTTTTTGCTTCAGATAATAAGTGGAGTAGGTAGGTGTTACAAATGATTTTAATCGATAAAGATACATAAATCGTTATTAGTAAATAGTATATGTTTTAGCGTGAAAAGTTCCCTTAATCGCATGCATAATACGTGAAATATAACTTAATATTGATTTAGAATTTTGTGTTAGACTTTCAGACACTTATTTTATTAATACAAAGCAAAGACGCTTTGTTTTGGAATAATCATAGTAATTATGATACATGCAAAATGCGATGTACCTATGTATATAGTCGAAGAAGATATTGAAGTGAAATTTTATTTGGGAAAAAGTTTTAAAAGTAGCAATAATGAAAGAATATTAAAATACATATTTCATATAACATAAATTTTGTAAAAAACTATTTGTCTAAATTTAAAGCCAAATTTTTAGATATTAAAACAACAAATTCAAATAGGTATCCCTTTTTGTTCTTAAGATACTTACTAAAGTCAATTGTGAATATTTAAAATAACCGATGAAAACATAACAATTAATAATTTATTAATTGTGTTCATAATAACCTATTTATAATAATAACCTACATACATAAAGAATAGCTGACTGAAATAATTATTTAACGTAAGGGGCTTAGATTATTTCTAAAAATCTAAGGTAAGGGGCATAAAAATAACATACTTATAGGTATATGTAGCTATCTCAAAGTATAAGAAAATATGCCTACATTTTTTTCTAAATTACGTTCTATTAAGTATTTATATTTAAAATTTTGAAAAATACACACTGGACCAAAAGTTATAAATTTAATATAGCCTGTACCCATTAACGATGGTTATTATTTTTTTAATACAAGACACTTCATTAGAAACTACAAGTTTTTGTTACTAGAAGTATCTATTAAATTATTTAATGTCGAGAATATACTTAGTGCGCTTATTTTTTCTATTATTCATTTCACTACATAAAATGGCGTAATCAAATTTTACTTACCATTGTAGGAAATCTTCTAAAATATAATTCTATTACTAAATATATCTATCACTTATGGCACAATTTTAAGTCGGATCGATGAAAATTATAACTCGAATTTAAAAGCATTCGTTTTCCCGCCAAAAAGCGCGTAAAATAATGATTTGAATGTGAGCGCATGCGCGATGTTGCCGCGCGGTTTGCCTTCTGTCTGCTCTTGTACTTCCCAGGCCCCAGCCCACGCGCACCGCTCACCTTATTGCAGACATCTTTCTCCAAAGCACGTGATGCGTCTTCGAAAGCATTGGCCGTGGAATAGAACTTTTATATCCATTGCAAATTCCGGTACAGCTCACCGGTCAGTGTACTAGCATCTAAACGTCATAGCAAGAAGCGTTGAACACTAGGTACCAAAGTAAACTACTGCATTGCATCAAGTTTAAGTGGCTGAGAACCTATGCAGAATACTTACCTGTAGTTTGCTACCAATTACTGACTGCGGTTTTAATTAATGCACGCCATTTGTAAGTGCTATTTTTGCCAGTGTTTAATTTTTCGACTATGAACTAGGTCTCACTCTACTTCTGGGCTCTGTCGATGCGTTTGTGTAAAGAGAATTAAAATTGCAAATTGTATTACAAATTAACATCACGTGACTAATGATAATATTAGTTTCTTTTTATCGTTATATTAGTTTCTTTTTATTATTTATAATGAATTAAATTATAATCATAATAATAATTATTGGGTGCACTACAATAAACAATGTAAAGCCATGTAGTCATTTGTTTGGGTAGAAAGTACAGAGTTATTGACCCGAGATACTATAGAAAGGATAAAAAGGGAGACAGTGTCGGTATGTTTGATTCCACTTACTTTGCTAGTTACTAGTAAATACAACATAAAATTATAACAAAAAGTTGTTAGTTGTTTTTTAAGTTTCTATATATTTGAACAAAAGTATAAAAAAAGTTTTATTGTAGTATTCAATTAAACGTAAAATTATATTTTGACGCAACTAATGAAGTACCTAAATCTGTCAGTAGTTCAGTTTTGATTGAATGTAGTTTTATTTTCTTAATTTTTTCAATGTTTGATTTTATGGACAAAATACGTGATGAGCTTTTAGAAAATGTTATTGATATTCTTGATGTATTGTCGGTAGGTAGTCTACATTTATATGATAAAATAACAGATAATTTAATACATATGCTGCGAAAAAATATCAGAAAACCCATATGTAAAGATAAATTTTTGGTATAAATTTTTTTAATGTTATAAATTGAAACAGGAATATGACACGTAAAAATTACAAGTGACTCTAAACATGGGGGACGAAATTGATGCTACTGTTATAGATGAGGTAGATAATAATAATGAAAATAAAAAATCTGAAGAGGCACAAGATTTATTAGCTGAAGAAGTACTAGAGGAAGAAAAAATTAAAGGTAAGCTCAGTAAAGAAAACATACTAGAAAATGCAGAAGATGAAAATATAGAGAAATTAGGAGAAGAAGGAGGCGAAGAGGGTGAAGAGGGCAAAAATGGTGAAAAGGATGAAAAGGGTGAAATGGACGAAAGGAGTGAAGTGGACGAAAAGGGTGAAGAGGACGAAAAGGGCGAAGAAGAAGAAAACGGTGAAGAGGTTTTGTGCGAAGAAGAACAATTAGAAGACGAACATAAACAGGATCAAGAAAAACAAGACGAACACAAACCTTCAGTAGAAGAACAAGTTGAGGAAGAAGAAGAAGGATATGTTGAGGAACCACCACCTGATCCTGCTGCTCCATTTGAATTTAGTGACTCTAAAGAAGCCCTCAAACCACTTTACGAATTAAGACCAGATCAAACAGCTGAAGTAGAACAACTTTGGGAGTTATATCAAAATTACACTCCTGCCTACACAGATATTAATGGATATATCACTGAAAAGGAATTAGTTTACATGTTAAAAGCCCTTTTACTTATGACTTATACCTCTGAGCAACTACAAGAACTTATAGCATTTTGTGTGAGACCACCACATCCCGATGGTCATATAAACTATAAACAATTTCTAAAAATGGTCACTTTAAGGCAAAGAGATTTTCCAGTAGAAGATGAATTACGTTCAGCATTGCAAGTATTTGACCCTGGACGAACAGGTTCAATAGATAGAGAAAATTTGAAAGAAGTTTTAGCGAAACAGGGACATAAAATGCCACAAAAACAATTAGATAATCTCATAAAAGAAGTTGATATTAGTAATGATGGTACTATTGGAATTGAGGATGTTGTGGGTACAATGTGCATCGATCTTAATAAAGAAGATTTGTTGATCTTAATGGCATCTTTAAATCCTCCACAGGAAAAGCCACCAGAAGATTTGTAGCGTTAGAAGCAAAATCAAATGTAATTTCGGTAGTACAGTTGATAATTTATATTTATTTTACATTTACAAAATATATGAAACTGCAGTTTAATTGGTTTATTTTTACCATATTAATCCTGTAATATTATATTTATGACCACCCCCAAATGTGGAATAATTACTTTTAAGTGGTTTTGGATTCGGTGTATCTTTTTTAATTAAAATATTTTTAATATACAAAAAATCGGACAAGTACGAGTTTAAGTCGCACACCGAGGGTTCCGTAGCATGATGATAGCATTGAAATAAGTTCTTTGTGATGTAACTATAAATTTATGGTTTTCGGATTCTTTACTTTACTTGTGCTTTAAGGTAAAGCTTCTTGCCAAATTTCATGATTCTAGTTTGTAGGTTAACAGGAAGTAACCTATAGATTTTGATTCCCTTAAGAGTTAGTTGATATGAATATGATATCGGCGTATGCGGCATAAAAGGCCGTATCCTTTGATTACGTTGACTTAGAAGTTTGATTTTTTTCATAGCTCTAATGGATTGCAGATCTGAGTACTTACTTTATAATGATTTCAATTTGATACCTCCACGCGTTCCTGAGAAAAAGGTCTTGAAAGACAGATCACTCAATATTTAAAGAAAAAATATTAGCTTAGGCAACATTTAAAAATTAAAAATAACGGACAACACTTAAGTTCAAATGTCAGTGGTGACGTGAGTGGTCAAACTAAAAACTTCCAATTTCCAAACAATAATTTAATTGGCCGGTAGTAAAAGTTACGTTAAAACATAACCAAGCATTTTTAAAAGGACACATATTCAATGGAATTAATAAACCTGTAAAAAAGCGAATATGAATACAATAATTTCTATAATAGTTTTGTGCACAGCTTTAAGTGGATGTAAGTTTTATTGTCTGATAATTGTGCTTGTAGGGTGTGGTTTTTACCAATATTTAAACGAAATTCCACTTTGCTATTTTTATTATTTTGAGAATCATTCATTTAACTTTAAACTATTAAATTAAATTTAAATAATATTAAAATAATAGAGTATTTGCACTAAGTTTTTGTTGTAAACATTTTATTTAAAACTTTATATAATTTAAATAAGTAACTAACTAAAGTATATAAACAATATAATATTTCATTTTACATTATTATTTTGCTTATTAAATTGAAAAAAAATAAATAAATACTAAAACTTTTGTAGGTCTAGCAATATGGTGTTATCAATGTACAACAGCAACTCCTGGATGTAGTGAACCATTCAATTGGCGTGGTGTTGGATACTTGGGTAATCCTTGTCCAGACAAAGAAGATGTGTGTGTAAAATTGATTGAACAGAAAGGAGGTAAGCTTTGTAGAAATCAAATTACAGCACTATAGAAGCTTTTCTTATAATTGTTACCTACATTAAAAAAAAATATAACTTTGCAGCTAGAAAAGTTATTACAAGAGACTGTTTGAGTAACTTTAAAGCATTTAGAACTGATATACCAGCTGACACATATGAAGGATGTCGTCCAGCTGCAAGAGATGTAAATCTGGCACATTATGTGAACAATTCTATAAAAGAATTGGATATTAAAAGGTATAATATTATAAAAATATAAAATATTTAATTTTTTTTATTAGTTTAATTACTTCTGCGTCAAAGTATGAGCTTAATTAATTATCAGAATGTTAGAATTTTTTAATATTGATTTCGAATTAGAATAAGGGTGGTGATGGGGAGTCAAAATATATAAAACATATTTTCAAGAAATGAAGAAGACAAAAGTTGTGGAGTTGTTAAATATTTTTTTTAATCCCTAAAATTTAAATTCACTGTAACTTTGACACTTCCATTCCTTTTGATACTGTCCAATGCCTATAATTTTCAAGTAAAATCTGTCAAACTAACTAACAGGGATCTTAAGTTCGAAATGAAAAAAATCTTATGAGAAGGCAAATACTTATATAATATACAATTAATATTTTTTTATGTTTCAGAGATTGGTATGATGAGACAACATGGTGTTTCTGCTTTCTTGACAATAGGTGTAACAGTGCATCAAGCATTGTAAATTCAATGGTTTTACTGACCTTCAGTGTATTTACACTGACAATAAGGGTATTGTTTTGATAATAATCGATATGCATGAGTGATGATGCAGTACTAAAGCTAAAAAGTAGTTTTTAGACCGGAATGTTCACTGATTTTTGAAAATCCTTTTATTATGTGCCTTAGAAAATTCGAAGAATTGTATATTGCCTTTTTGATATATAAAAAATATTAATTCTACAATCTTATGATATACAATTATGGACTGCTTTAAAAAAAATATTTATTAATGTACAAATAACTTGCTGTATGTATCACAGAAGTCTAATGTTTATTTATATACTATAACAAATCTCCATCAGTAGTAAGTCAGTTTTGAAATAATTTTAAAAAGCTATATTAAATTATTTAATATTGAAGTTGCAGGTGTACAATTAATTAAGAGTGAAAAGAATTATATTACATACATATATATATATATATATATATATATATATATATATATATATATATATAGTGGTGCAAATATTTTAATTTTTCACAATAAATATAAAGCTGGAGAGCCTTAATTGTCTGTTACACTTTTACAATACTTTACATGACATTCCCTAAAATAAGCACAAAATATGTGTAGGTTACATTTAATACATAGTTATTTTTTCATATCTATAGAATACAAATGCTTAACAGAAGAGTATTCAAACCTCTTTTTTCTATTTTTAGTTAAAATTCATTTTTCAATTTATATAAGTTAAATGACTCCTGTAGACTTTTGTCGAAACCAATATTTTATTAGATGTAATTTAATTTGTAAGATACATATTATATATTTTTATGTTTATAATAATTACACTTAAGTTCTAGGAAAATAAATAAACATATTATGTTTATGTATTAAGTCAAAGTAGTAATTATCCGTCCATTTAATGAATTCTATGGTTATTGTTAATCGAGCCAATGTGAAATATTTGTCCGTCCATATTGTTAATAATAATTATTATAGGTCATTTTCTATGCTTATTTCTTTATTTTAAATATTTCTATAATGTTGATTAGTTTATTTTGAAAACTATGAAATTTTCATGATATTTTAGATGAATTTGAATAGTGTTTTAAATTGACATTTATACTTTCGCGATGTATTTAGCAAGAATAAATTATAACATGTAAAACTATTCGAAATAAAATACATTTTCTTGCAATGTGTTACATATTTCTTTCACATTTAGTATACATTTATTTTTATTTATTGAAACTTACTACGTGTTTTAATCAGTCATTTGGGTAATCAATCAAATCGAAAAGTATATAAGTTATGACGCCGTTGGCGAATGGCGGATGATTGATAAATTACTTATTTTTGATAAATATAATAATTATTAAGTATGTTTAGCACACAGTTTAAAAATCCATTGATATTGATGGAAATCAAAAAGTTGTCAAACCAAGTTGGAGTTATACACGTCGACTCTAAAGCCGTTTCCCGTATCATAAAAGAAAGTATGACCACGGTAATGTTACATATAACATTACCGTGGTATGACAGTCGGGAGCGCACCACCCGTGACCTGCGTCTCACCTTGCAAGTCCCATACTTTTCGTTTTCAATTCTTACATATTAATGAAATTCACAAAAAATGCATTATCATTTTTTTCTTTTGCATATTCTTACTTATAGGAGAGCAAACTGTAATAACGTCACCATGAGCGTTGTAACTAAATTAATGAGATTTATCATGGTAGAAGCGTCCATATACCACATATCATAAACTGAAATTCGGGGCGGTTTCTCTTTTATCATATTTAACAGTTTAATAGCTTTTTTTCTTAGAGGCCCTGAAAGTTTTTTTAGTAAATTATGAATCTTCATCAGAATACCTGTAGTTATCGATAGCAAAACATTTTATTTTCAAATACTATATCTCCTAGATGTTAGAATTGGTTGAAATTTGGCAAACACGTGTAGTCTATAGCTCTGAGAAAACTTTTCTAATCCTGTTCTAGCAAACTCCTATAATATTTCTTGTGTTATAAATAGATATATAATTATATATCTTAATATATATATTTCTTGTGTGCGTGTGTATGTGACTGAACTCCTCCTAAACGACTGGACCAATTTTGATGAAATTTTTTGTGTGTGTTCAAGGGGATCTGGGAATGGTTTAGATTCACAATTTGAATAATAATTTTCATCAAAAAAATTATTAAAAAAAGTTTGAAATTTTTAAATTAAAGACGTGTAGACAGGACAACGTCTGTCGGGTCCGCTAGTGTATTTATAACACAAGAAATTTTTAAAAAGGTGCTAAAATTTATTGTTGATGCCTGAGAGATGTCAGCCAGAGGATCGATGATAGATAAATAAAAAAGTGAGTGTTGTAAAATTGTGTTATGTATATAGGTACCGACTCACCCTCGCTTCACTTCGGGTTCGTCCCTGGACAAAAAAAATTTATCCCACGGGAACCGTAGATTTTCCGGGATAAAAAGTAACCTACATATGTGCTATTCCAGACTACAATCTATCTCTGTGCCAAGTTTCATCCAGTTCCGTTCAGCCGTTCTGGCATGATAGAGTAACAAAAATCCATCCGTCCTCACAAACTTTCACATTTATGTAATACTATATATATATATATATATATATATATATATATATATATATATATATCATATTACAAATATATTTTACATATAAGTATGGATTAAGATATACTTGCCATCATAGTATCGTGATAAAACCGTGATGCACAAATACTTGGTGTTACTTATTTCTCTTGAAAATGCTTCAGATCGTATGCATATAAAGATGATAATGCTCAGGTCTATTGCAGTTATTGTTAAAAGATATGCACATTCCACTAATTGGAGTATCTAAAAAAAATATGCATAATAAATTAATTTTTTTCTGAGATATTCATTCTGAATAAACTTACGAAGGTATATTTATAATTACATTTCTCTGCAAAGTTAGCAGTCCGAATTCGAAACTCAATAAAGTCCCCAAAACAAACCTAAAGCAAAATAAAAATATCTGAAAAAATATATAAGAATTAATGAAAATATATTTAAAAATGTTATAAAATATTTCGAGATAGAACTTTGTCAGCTAGTCTTTAAATTTAAGGTATACTTTTTATCCAAGAAATGATATAAATATCTGTAGGTGCTTATTTAGGGTTCCAGAAAAGAAAAATGGAACAAAAAACCGGCCAAGTGCGTGTCGGGCCAAGCGCAATGTAGGGTTCCGTAGTTGGCCATCATATTAACGCGGACTAAGAAGGCTTTTTGTTGTTTCATACAAACATAAAATGAACATTTTACGTTAACGGTTTCGGCGGCTCATAGTAATAACCTCGCTGTAGAATGAATACCTCATATGTCAAAAAAACATAAATTTTTTTGATAATCAAATGAAAAGCAGTTATCCCAGATAAGTAATGGATTGGTTAATAACATAAATAAATCCTATATATCATTCAAAACGTGAGACAAAAGCACATAACAATATTTTAAACATTGACGACATGAACCATTTTTTTAGTTTCCTGTAAAATTTGGATCTCTGGACATACGAGGTTATCTTTCTAGAGCGACGATAAGTATATTTTATGAGTTGGTCGACTATTGCTCGTATACTTGTAAAGCCAACTAAGCCTAATAAGTACTACCATGTTTGTTCTGAGCTAAGCTGCGGACAGACGGACGGATATGGCGAAACTAAAAGGGTTCCTTGTTGACTACGGAACCCTGAAAATATAGAAGTTCATTTTGAATTGCCCACGCCAACGAAGTTGCGAATACAGATAGTTATATGTAAAAAAAGTATAATCTTACCTGAAATCTATACACATTTTGATACTGAACTAATAATTCGAACAGGTCTTTTAAATATATGTATGTATCGCTAGATTCAAAGTCGTGTGTATCCGATGCTATACACCGAAGCATTTTTACTGTCGGCAAACTTTTATTTTTTAATTTCGTTTTATTATCTGGGATGCCTTCCAAATGGTTCATTATAATAGCATTTATGTAGCGTATACGAATAAAGAAATATATTAAAATATTGGAACAGTATAACCATTCTGTAGAGAATGTCAAATGAGCGAAGAGAAAACCAACTATACCAATTTCTACTACAGTTTGAGTCAAAAGTTCCGTAAGATAAAGCGATAGCAATATAACTAAAATAACAATGATTGTAACTGCGTTTACCTTAAACATGAAATCGTTAATGAATTCACTCTTATCTATCTTTAGTTTTCGATCTAACTTCTGCATTTGTACGTAAAATTTAATATTCTCATTGTTATTGAAGAATCGCGCGTTGACAACACTGCACGTGTACCAAATGTAATGGAGGCATATTGTTGTAATAATAATATAGTTAATATTGCTATAGTGTAAATATCTTTTATAATAATAAAGCACAACACTCGCATAAAATCCTAAACACGTAAATATACAGATAGCACTATATATCTTTTGTAGGACGGTAGGCGCGGTCACAAATCTGTCTCTTGCGTCCACTCTACTCGAGCCTAAGAGTTTTTGTATAAAATAAAATGGATAAAACGATCTCAGGTAGTTCTCTTCTAAAATGTCGCTCGAGAGGTATTCTGCAGATTTCATTATAGTGCTATTAAATTACACTCTTTAAGAATAAGGAATGTGCGTATTAAAAAGATTGTGTTAAAATACTGCTTAAATGATAAAATAGTTTTTTTTTAAACTTTGGTGTACTAATTTTTGACTATGGAACTATAACATAAAGCCACTGTGTAAGAGGCGACAAGGGCCAACAGCTTTACGAACAGAGTACCATCTATCATATGTACATCATAAATTGATATACTGTTTCTCACTTCCAAAAATAATAATATGCTTTTCATATATCTTCTTGTAATCTCTGAAAGACAAGAATTAATTAAATTAAAATAATATTCACCATAGAATAAGCTATTGGGTAGGGTCGCTGCCCACCGTTTGAGTTCTCAAGGGTACCTATTATCACATAAAAAACTATGCAGTAGTCGATCGCTATTCGCTCATTGATTTTAAAAGGAATATTG